ATTTATATTTATTAAAATATATGAATCTTACATTTTTTTATTTCCATTAAATTTATAAGTTTCGCTCTAAAATTTATTAATAAACGCTTTTACGAATAAAATTGAAAAAAAAAAGTGTGCAGTAATGGATTTGGGACATTCCAATAAAAGACCATGTCTATTGTATTGTCTTTTGTGTCACGCGTGACGCCGGTAGCCCTGAATGTGCGCGGCAAATGGAAAGCTAATGACCGGAAACAAGAGTACATCAGGCCGGTCGATTCGTAGTGAATTTTCCAAATATATCGCGAGATATTTCCACTTCCCCCTGTAATGTTAAAGTGCAATTTGGAAGGACTTGTTCTTCGCATTTTCATCTACCACACAATCATTTTTGTTTGGTTCTATATTGAGAACGATAATTCTAACTATAGGTGCCATTATCCATTGATCACAGGAATTGCATCGATTGTTCTCTCTCTCGATTATAATAATTAAAGCGAAATAATATGCAATAACTTTTTTTGTATTTTGCATTTTTCTCAAAATTATTAAATTTTCATTGATACCAACCAACTAAATTATGATTAACGTCTACAATTATATCTTTCTATATACTTTTAAATAATGGCGGTAAGCCACTATATTATAGCCCTATTTCATTTCCGAGAGATAGACTTTATCTTGAAAGCAAATACGAAGCGTAACATGTTTAGGAAAAACGAACTTCGAATCTGTTGCGCTTTCTAAGCTCGATTCTCATCTTCAAGATGCCCCGAACGTCCGACTGGCGTCCTATGACTTTGGAAATAGAAAGTCACTTTGAAAATAGGCTCCGAAATATGCGTGCCTGGTAAACCCTCCCATCGTCTCGGCTAAGAAGAAGAAGAAGAAAGAAAAGGAGAAGAGAGGAAGAAGGCAAAGAGAGAGAGAAGGAAAATCATGATGAGGAAGAACGATGGAGAAGACGAGGAAGACGCGGGAGGGTAGACGCAGTTTTAGACTACGGATTCGGCGCGTCGGCGTCGGGTTAAAAATAACAGTAACAGCGGCAGAGCTGGTCCTCGTCGTCGTCGTCATCGTCATCGTCGTCGTCGTCGACGTCGTTGTCGTCGTCGTCCACGTCGCATTTACCGCTGCTATTGCCACCGCTGTTGCTGCTACCGCTCTCTGGCTTGTATCTTCCTCCGCCGAGCTGGACGGCGATATCGATGACGCTACCAAGTCGTTGCGACATAGCCTTGAGCGCGGCTGTGCGTCGCACCGAAGAAGTCTAGGAGCCATACATTTCGACTTTTTTTCTCCCACAAGAATTTTAATGTCTTATACATCGAGACATTGGATTTCTGTCCACTACGTGCTGCGGCAGAGTTTTTTATTTGCACGCTTAGCGAACGCGCATTATAATAATTTCGGGCGGAGTTTCCTGGTCGCTACAGCGTATTCGCCAGAACGAATTTATAAATCACGTTGACGAATTGTCACGTTCCTGTTCCGCGAAACTTTCGCGCCGGTAAAACATCGGACAAATTTGTCCGGTCGTGCCTGTGCTTTTTGCAAAACAGAAATTATTTAGCTTCTCTCCATGAGTTGATGTATTTGTAGACTTTCAAGCGTAAACTTGACAGACGAGGTATATCGCAAGCTCTCTTCTATCATCGCGACAGCCGTTTGCTTGTTATTATTACGCCTGTGAAAAGGACGTATATGTCAAGTTTCATCATCTATATATTCGCAGTTACCTGTGTAACCTATGTTCGCCGCGTTCGATACAGTGTCAAGTTTCTTGAAACAAAAACTTTTTAAATCTCATTTTTTAATTCATCTAATCCTTAATCAAATTGTACGAAATCTCGAGTTTGCTAAAGTATATTGTTAATTCGGAAGCTTTTTAAAGAAAAATCTGTAAAGAACTATCATTTACTACTAACAGCTTACAAACTGCTATAAATAAAATATTAACGTGTTAAAAAGAGATGAAAACAGTATCATACGTAATATAAGTTTTTCATCATACTTTATTCCATAGAAAATATTTTTCTCTGGTCTCATTTATGACACTTGATTAACGTTTTCAAATGGTTATCGAATTCATTTTTTAAATATATCGTATTTAAGAGTTTATAGGAAATCGTATTCTCTAAATCTTCTTTGGAACCTTTCTTTAAAGAGTAAAAATTGAGCCAATCTTGAAAAAGATTAGCTCAATTTTCAATCTTTAATATTTTTTATCTCTTCAGAAAGATAATTATTATAAGATAATTATTATAAGATAATCATTATAAAAGTTTTAGGAAGTGTTGAATTTTATTCGTGAATTTTAAATACGAAACGACATATGGGCCTCATCGGGGAGGCCCATGGTCACCGAAAAGTATTGAATAAGAGTGCTGATATTATATCTACGAAAGTCACGTATATCTGTACCGGAGCGTCGCGGGTCTCGAAATCTTGGCTGCGCGTGCGATCAACGGATTCTCTCTCCACGCAACGGCGAGACGGATTTTATTTTCGTACCGCAGTAGCATCCCGCGACCCCAATGCCACCGGCTCCGTCAGCAACCACCCTCCCCTCCCTCTTCCCCCTCCAATATCTTGCTGTCCTAGCGCGCCACGACTGACACTCGTAAATCCAAAGCTGCGATTGCCGTCGCGGATACTTTGGATATATAATGTTCGGATGATGTCGAACAACTCGTACGTGCCGAACGAGCGGTTAGCCACGAACGCACGAGGTCGGCCCGCGAGTGTTTGTCAGCGGATTCGACCATCAATTTTTTGTTCTTATGCGATCACACGATTACACACCTACTCGTCATTTTTAATGTTTTGAAATATTCGCGCGATAAATATTTTGATATTTCTAGAATCCCTAGAAATAAGAGTCCCTGGTCCAATCTTCTTCGTTTGTATTTGTGCACGTATTACGTGCATTTATACACAACTGTATAAGGCGTTTTACATATCTGCTTTTCATTTTTTTCACGTGCTCATCATTTGATTGATTCCGCCATTTTTTACCAAGCCAATCGAAAATAGGGCAAAACTGAGCAGACTTTTACTTCTTAAGGACATTATACATTTCAATAAAGAAGCAACGCGTATCATGTAGCACGAGATAGAATGACATGCACTTCTTTTCATCGTCGCAAATGTTTTTTATTTTAACTTTACATAAAGAGAATATATAGGATGTTGCAAAACTGACGATAAATATTTTAAAGACATATTTTTTGTAACATTTTAAGATGATAGTTTTCAAATGGAAAGAATTTAAAAAATTATACGAATGAGAGAGACATTAGAATTTCGTGCTTTCAAGGATGACAAGATGATCAGTATTAAAAGTCCTGAATATTGTTATTGTCAAAGATACGAAGTTCGAAGAAGCACCTTCACGCTCGAAATTCTAGTTAGAAAGTTCCTGTTAGTCGTGATTCTTAACTCTTCTCATCTGAAAATTAACATAGCCTTGGCATTTTCGAGTTAGACTTTTCGTCTTAAAATGTTACAAAGAACTGTCTTTGAAATATTTATCGTCAGTTTTGGGACCACCCTGTATAGATGATTTTATGGATATTAAATGGCGTTCAATGCAATCGCGCGCGGCAATTCGATAATTGTTGAGGCGCGCCATTTTGAGCGTGTGATTTCGAGAGTCGCACGCTCGTGTGGCATACCGGACGCTCTCGGCTAGGAATAGTCGGGACAGGATACGGGAACAGTTACCAACGCGTCAGGGCCAGCGTAGCTCGAGGCGATCGGGCAAGGACGGTACCGCTATGGGCAAAGATCTTCAATCGCTCTCCTCCCGCAGGAATTTATGACGCGAAAAATCTTGTTCCTTCCGCAGGAATTTCGCCGATTTCTCCCGCCACTCGCCTAGCGATAGAGCTTATAGATCGTCCTTATAGAAAAAGCGAGCACTAAGTCGAACGGCGAATCATTCGCTCGGAACGAACACGATATCTATCGACATAGAATTTGTAGAGAAAGACGTTGCGCACTTCCGTTCGTGCCTTTCCTTTCTAAATTCGAAATTGATCTTGACTTAACGAATATTCGACGGGATATGTTATTATATGTCTTTCTTTTGTCATTGGACATTATCTTACTTGCATGTCTAATACTTGAATGAAAATTTTATTAAGTACAGCCCATTTAAAGTTAAGTGAAATCTAAGTAGTTCACTTACTCGCGTCTGTTCATTGGTAATTTCAGATACAGCACAATTAATCATGATCTGAGCTTTGTATCGACAATTATGTGACAATTTGTCTCTCCCGACAAACAGGGAAATTCTCATTTTCACGGTTAATATTCATCCGTTCCAAATATTGGCGTCGCGGGCGCGATCGATCGGGGGTAAATAGAGAGGCGCCTTGACGTGTCGATGAGATCGGCAAGCGCGAACGATATAGGCTGATACAGGCTGATACTCCTAGATCCGACTGAACGAGCGTACGGAGGTCGTTGAATCCCATTAAGCGGTACTCTCAGATCGTTTCGCTGCCGACCACCTGTATGCCGACGTTTTTTTCAGCCGATGTCTCCACATCCGCGTCTCTCTCTCTCTCTCTCTCATCCCTTCTCCCCCCCCCCCTCTCTCTCTCTCTACCCTGCTGCGTACCACAATATTACGTCGGATGACGACGACGAAGAGGAGGTAGACACCAGGACGAGAGCAATTACATTTCTCGTCATCGTCGTCGTCGTCGTCGTCCTGATGCGCTCATACTCGGTGAATATCGCGCGCTACAGCTAGAATATTGTATTCTCCTTTTCTCATGTGGCTAATGCGGCCACACCTTTCACCAACACCCAACCCAGCAGGCTCTGATCCGACTAGCGTACTTAGCTAGCTAGGCTAGCTAGATGACTCGGCTTACCGATCGAAGGAATAGCCAGGCGCGGTCGCTCGTTCGCTGCGACCGGCAATACGACTTGTGCGCATCTCGAGAGTCGCCTAACAGTAAAGTCTTTCTCTTGCTTTGTTCCGTCGTTGGACGGCTCGGAGAGGATCTCGTAGGATTTTCATTACGTTCCTCCCGTCACTTACGGGATACTCTCGCAATTGTCTCTACTCTCTCCTCGATCTCGAGGAATTTTCAGTATGCCGATGTGTGCAACTTAAAATGCAACACACGCCATCTCTTCATGTATGTCATTTACGTAAATTTAGGAATTAAAAGTAGAGCTCGGACATAGATTCGAACGAATTGCATGGTCAAGCAACGAATAGTTTGATGTCGAAATTTAATACTCAGATTCAAATAACTTTTATAATTCCAAAAGTCAACGATACTTTGAACTGTTTAATGGATTTGCGATGTTCGGAAATCTGGCAGTTTGGAAAGTTTAGTTGAGGAAAACTTGTGAAAATAGCATTCATTGAGACGTGAATAGCTTTAGTTCCTTCCTTTTCACATATTACTCAACTTCATTTCGTCCAAACTCAACAAAGAATTCAACAAATTGTCTTCAAAATTTGCAGTAGATAAATATTTATTGTTTTAATTTTATTTATAAACTATTGTTTTACTTGAAATAAGTTCGCATTATATTCAAATATAATTCAAAAAGAAAGTTACAATTGTCTGAAAACAATCCTTCAAAGAGTTATACAGAAAACTAGTGAACACTAATGAAAATTTTAATGTTTTCTAAAGCCCACAAAAAATTTTTTTTTAAGCCTGAGATATATAATTAAAAAGTGTAGGCATTATATAGGAACAAAGGAATAAATTCCAATCAGAAACTGTGTATTCTGTGTATTTACAGTTTTTGTAAAAAGTTGTTATCCCTAGTATATATTGCTTGTACTTTTCAGTTGAAGAGAGACTAAAGATTAAAGCTTTTTATGTCAAAAGGTTATATCTACGATTTTTTTCGTTTAGTGCTATGAATTTTTGTTCCAATCCAATATTTCACTTATTTTAACTTTTACTGAGATATATTCTTAAAATAAAAAATAGAGAAAAAACAAACGAAAAGAATTTGAGGAAATAAGAAAACGGATATCAGATAGGACTTAAAAAAAGGTCCTTTAAAAATTTGGAAAAATTTCTAAGAAATTTCGAAATTTATAAGAGTACAAACAAACCTGAGCTGCAGAGTGTGTTCCGTTTTTTATTCACAGCTTGTAAGCATAATTTGTCCTTGTTCAATATTTGATAAATAATACGAATGATATAATGTTTCTTACAGCATGTGAAACGTAAAAACGAAATATACCTT